ACCTTCTCGCAGCGACCAGGCACCGTCTGCAGACACACCAACCGCCCCGCACCATGCAGCGCACAGCACAGCCTTCATCGAAAGTGACACACGTCGATGGGCCATCGAGTGCGTCGCTCACTTACTCGCCCACCAGCGGATGGCTCTCGTCCGTTATCTCCTGGATGCTCAACCCCTGCAGGCCATCGGAGGCAGGGATGTGTTGCCGGGGTATGGCATCCCATGAGTCATCTTCAGCGACGCTCGTGACGAGGTAGCGGATCTCATCGGGCCAATTCCGTGGAACACGAGCTGTCACCCTTCTGTCCATTGTGACAAACCCATCCGCCTTCTTTCTCACGAAAAGCTCACGGTCATGTGAGCCGGTCGTCATGGGTTCGAGCCCTCCATCGGACCCATGGCGCAAGTTTCGGGGGGGAGTCTAGACTAGCTACCCTAAGGATCTCACTGGACTGCCTGTCAAACGGATCTCACTGGACGCGCCGCGAGGACCAGCCGAGGAGTGGCACTCGGATGCGTAGGGTAGCTGCCGTGAAATCGAATCGTGTAAAAGCTGAGGACACAGAGGCGTGCGATCGGTCGATCGGAGTGTGATCGTGCGTGGCCAGTGTACATGAATCGGACTCGCAAAGACTTGGGAGGCGGGGCATCCCCAGGGCCCGTAACCAACCAACCAACCTACAGTGTGTCCCAAGCTCGCATCTCGCGCCGCCCCGCAGACGCCAATCGAGAAGCTGCTCCCTGCCTCCTCATGCATCGCACCCGCACTGGTGACGCAGCTGACTGCCGGCATGAACGTCGCATGCAGTGATGGCGATGTCAGCGTGCGGTTTGTCAGCCCGCCATGTCTCGGTGAGTCCGGCCAGGTATTGGGTGGACTGTGCGAAATGAAGATACATGTAACCATTGCATTTTTCGAGTTCCTTCAGTCCAACGTCCAATCCTGCACTCACGCAGCCAGCCATCCAGCCAGCCAGCCAGCACACTTCAAGTCAGTCTGTCTGTACAGGCATACGCAGCCAGGCACGGCACGACACGGAACGACACGATAAGACACACCACACCACCTGTACACGCGCATCAGCCAGCAATCGAAGAAGCAACAAACAGACGACCCAGCGGAGTCTCGCGTGCACAGCCCCCTCTCACCTCATCCAGCCACACATCTACGCTATTCGGCCAACCTCAAAGCAATAGGTAATCAACAAACGGACAGCCGAAAAAGGCATTTCCGACCAGCATGCATTCCATTCATTCACCAAAACAGCATCCGCAAACACTGGAAAACCCGCGCATGTGATGGGCAGTGTGTACGGCCGAAGATCACTTGAGGAATTCCTCGTACTTTGGGTACTTCTCGACCTGGAGACACACGAACAGGGAGACCATCCAGATGATGCCTTGTACGTGTGGGGATTCCTATCTGCTTTCGTTTGACCTCCTTGAGCAGCGTGTCCTTGATCGGCCCCAGCACCCTGCATCAAACCACGTGAGCGCGGTGACGCGCTGAGGGTAATTCGTGTACCTACCTGTCGAAGCACTCCCGGTCTATCCACAAGACGGAGCAGTCGCCCTTTGCGTACACACTCGCCTGCACAGCAGCCACACACAGCAGTGTTGCAGCAATATACACCCTCGAGTGAGGTATACCTTTCTGGACACGTCAGCAAGCAGAGCAATCTCACCGAAATACCCACCAGGACCGTACCTGCACACAAAGCAAAATGCGTAAGGTGCATGACTATCCTGTTGTCCCTGTGTGTACTCCTGGCTCACTCCTTGACGACGATTTCGGGCTTGTTCTCCTCGGACAGTTTCGCGACAGCATGACCCTGCAGGACAATGACTCCCACAGGGCGAGGTGAGGCAGCTGCTGCACCCCACTCACCTCTTCGACGATATAGAAGCGGTCGCCGACGGTGCCCTGCTGGATGATGCACTCGCCGTCCTCAAATATGTCACTTTGCTGCATGAAACAAACCAGGAACCAGAAAGGCAATCTCAAGCACCACATAGCACGCCAAAAGCTCTTCATTGATCAGAGTACCAGGAGGTCGGACAGCTTCCCACGCTCCAGTTTGGTCAGAGCCTCTGCACAGAAACAGAGGAAAGCAGCTGTGCACACATGTGACGCACGCAAAACTGGAAGCACGAGTCTTACGGAATATCTCGACGTTTTCGAGGAAGGACTCGTGTGCCTTCTTCTTGACGTTCTCTGCCGTCACCTGACAGCCAAACACAGACAGGAGGAGCGTTGATGAAGACCAAACTGATACGTGTGCCTTGTTGCTGCTGACCAGCATCATCTGGAAGCTGTCGCGGTCCAGCGCCCACACAACAGAGTCCTCAGCAGCCTGGCGCACACAGCAAAGCGGCATCACAGCTCAGTCAGGGCCATGGGTATACGGCTGTCTGTGCGTGGCATGCATAGCTCACAATGCATGTGGCTGCGCGAGGTGCGTTGTACATCAACGCCAGCTCACCAAACGAGGAACCAGGAGCAGCCTGCAACCAAATTGACACGCACACACACACACACACGCATGGATGGATGGATGGATGGATGGATGCCGATGCAGAGGTGACTGAGTGCCCGCTGATATGCTCACCTCCGTGACCTTCTTTGGTGGGTTGTTGCCTCTGGCGACGAGTATGTCGAACATGCCTTTATCCACAACATAGAAATTGTCACCCTCCTGCCCCTGCTGGATCAGCATCTCGCCCTTCTTGACTTCCTTCCGGAACATGGCGTCGATTACCTGCAGGCAGACAAGACACCAATCAAGACACCACCACACACACATACACGAGCTGCCCTGTGTGTTGTGTGTGTTTGTCAATCATTTGCTGACCGCTTCTCGCGCCTCGTCATCGAGGTGTCCGAACAGCACTTGCAGCTTGGTGTTGATGACCGAACGGATCTTGGCCTAATCAATCGGACCGGAAGGAGGCAATGGTCGGAGCGGATGGTCGGTTGCGGTTTGTGGGGCTGTCGTCAGCTGACCTTGTCTGCCTCAGCTTTTGGGTAGACAGGCTTTTTCCACTTGGCCATGCGCTCCTTGGTCACTGAAACAAAGGCACACACACACGTCAACATGGCTGCCAATATCGCGTGCTGGAGCTGGCGCTTCCTCACCTGCCTCTGCAGACACGCCTGTCCTCCTCTGCGAACATTGACACATGCCCACATCCAGGGCCCGCACTCCCCTCC